CCAATAAACTCCTTCTTATTTCTACATGAGACCTCCTTAGAAGGGTCTTTACAGTCCATATTTCTATCAGCATTCTGTTCACCACCATGTAACCAGTCTCTAAGACAGTCCAAACTTTCCCTCGTCTTTTTTCTTCTTCTGAGTCCTCCAAACTCCTCCAACCTCTGCCTAACACCAGTTCCAAAGCTGCTTCCACATTTTCAAGTATTTGTTATAAGTAACACCTCACTTCTCTGGTACCAATTTCCTGTATTAGTCCATTTGTGTTGCTTATAACAGAATACATGGAACTGGGTGATTTACAAAGAAAATGAATTTCATTGCTTACAATTTCTGAGGCTGGGAAATCCAAAGCCCAACTGGTTGTGGTGACAGTGACCCAGGGGTCTCACATTGCAAGATGGTGGAAGCAGAGAGAGGAGGGAGAGAGCAAGAGAAAGACAGACTCTCCTCTTCTTTTGAAGTCCTCAGAACCATGCCCCTGACCACTGTTTTTAACCCATTCACTACTGCATGGTCTCACAATCCAATCACCTCTTCAAGGCCCCACCATTCAATTACCGTAATAGGATTTCCCACCCTCTTAACAGTCACAGTGGGGGCCAAGTTTCTAATACATAAAACTTGGGGGACACAATTCAAATTTCAGTGAGTTTTGGGGGGACATAATTCAATACACTACAGGAAGTGAAAAACATTTTTACTTTCAGAACAAAAGTTGATAAAGACATATCCAGAATGGATGAGGGCTTGGAGAAGCAGGCACTGTCAGTCAACAGAGAGTACAAACGAGTTCCAGGTTTCTGAAGACAATACATATCCTAATTTAAAATGTGTATAACCCTCAGACTCAGAAATTTCCACTCCTCAAAATTTATCCCATGAAGATAACTGGACCAAAAAGAAAAAATGAATACAAGGAGCAGTCAGCGGTGGTTAGGGAGCTGTGTGGCTCAATGAACCTTCCAGAGAACCTGCTGCAGGGACAGAGTTGACTGACAGCCTACCCCTGCCACACCTTTGTACTTTTGACCCACTGCAGCACTCACACCAAGTCCGCACTTGCCCTGGGCTGCTCCAACCAATGACTAGGCACACCCTAGGTACTATCACTGGGTACCCGATGAGGGATTCTCCTAATAGCTAACATTTCCTCAGTGACTCCTCATTAGCATACATGAGACTTTCTAAGAACTATGCTGTGGTCAGGAGTTCTTCCGAAACCAAACCTTCTTTCTCGCACTCTTTTCACTGGGGTTCAACTTGCATCGTGCTCTGAAGACTCCCTGGACTTACTCCTGCTCCCTCTCCCTTATCCTTCACAGGCATTTCCCCCAATAAATCTTTACGCACCCAATCCCATCTTGGTTTCTGCTTCTCGGAGGACCAGAACTGATGCCATTAGTACCAGGAGTGGTCCAAAACAAGATGCGGTAACATGGGGTTTAGGGACTGGCTTACTCACCACCCAGCAGGCAAAGGACACCCCATGCTGAGTAGTGTGGGGCAGGTATTATCCCTTGCACAAGGTGAGAGCCCAACTACTGACCTGGGAAAACAACCTGGCTGAGGAGAACACTGTGGCTGGCGCAGTGATTCAGGCATTTGAAAAAAATGCAGGAATTATAGTATAAGGGCAGACAAAAAAGCATAATGATAAAAGAACAATTGACCAGAAAAATGTAACAGTGCTAAATTTTAATACACCAGAGGCACAGTCTCAAAATATAAAGGGGAAAAATGGACAGACTTGTAGAGAAAAGTTGGCAAATCCACAATCATAAGAAGGAGATTTTGACACGCCTCTTTTCAGTAGTGATTGTAGTAACAGTATTAAATAATTTAAAGGCTAATAGTTATTGTGCTTATTAGGCACCAGGAATTATTCTAACTACTTTACATATTTTAACTCATTTAATCTTCAAAATAAGTCTGTGAGGTAGGTATTATATTTCCCTCTGCCACAGATGAGGAAACTGAGGCCAGAGAGGTTAAGAAAATTTCCCAAAGTTAACTAATAAGTAGCAGAACTGAGATTTAAACCCAGGTAGTCCGACTGAATTTTTCATATTTTCTTATAAGCTTAGTTATAAATGTAAAAAGATGTTTTATCCAGCATTTCTAGGTGTCATGCAACAGGAGAATATTTGGCTATCTTGTCCTAATATGCTAGAAACAGAAGCACTAACAACCACTTTAAAATTAAATTTTGTCTTTTTTTCTTTAATTATTTCAAAGTGGGCCACTGCCTTGTTCAGGGTACAAGGGTACTACTTCAAAAAGTTCATGGAAAAATAGTATTAGAAGATAAAACGAATTTTTCCATGAACTTTGTAAAGAACCCTCGCATTTCAAGTCATAGCCTTAAATCTTTTTGTATTACTTTACTTAGATGAATAAGACACAATCCTGATCCTCCAGATGCTTGGTCTTAGTGGAAGGCACAATAAACAAATTAAAATAATGCCATTTGAAAATTATAACAGTGGTGTTATGTGAGACAAAGGACCTACACATAGTGAGGTGCGATCAACTCTTCTTTGGAGGTTGATCAAGAAAAACTCATAGAGGAGGTGACATTTATCCAAAGTAAAAATAACTTTTTTCCCAATCATAAAAATAGAGTACATTAATTTTTCTAAATTGAAATAATAGAAAAATTATAAAGAAAAATGTAGAAAAGTAATCCAACTCCTACCACCCATAAATAAGCATTATTCTTTTATTGAAGAAAGTACAGTCAAAAAAATGCTTGGAATGGTTAATAATGTTTAGTATGAGCACAGGGAGTGATAGTCCCTGTGTATGTATAAAATGCATACTTATGAATATGTACAAAATATATACATATTGCTATGGGTTATATGTGTCTCCCCAAAGTTTATGTTTTGGAAACTTAATCTTGTTTGTAACAATGTTAACAGGGTGGGAAATCCTATTATGATAACTGAAAGGTGGGGCTTTTAAGAGGTGAATAGATTTGGGCCGGCCCGGTGGAGCACTGGAGAGTGCACCGCTTGGGAGCGTGGTGGTGCTCCCGCTGAGGGTTCGGATCCCATGTGGAGACCGGTTCCCGCTCACTGGCTGAGCACGGTGCGGGCGCAACACCGAGGGTTGCGATCCCGTTACCGGTCAGTAAAAAAGACAAAAAGGAAAAAAAAAAAAAAAGGTGAATAGATTTGTACCCTCGTAATCATAATCAGATTAATCCATTGATGGTTTAATGGGTGGTCATGGGTGTGGTTATGATGGCTTTATAAGGAGAGAGGGAGAGAGAAGCTTAACTCTCTCTTGCTCAGCCCATTCTTACCATGTGCTACCCTACACTGCTGTGAAGAGTCACCACCAAGAAAAAGTCCCTCACCAGATGTGTTCCCTGGACTTTGGACTTTTCCGCCTCCAAAACTATAAGAAATAAATTTCATTTCTTTATAAATTACCCAGTTTCAGGTATTCGGTTACAAGCAACAAAAATGGACTAATATACATATATTATAGTGATAAATATATGCTATCCTATTCTACGTATTTGCATACACACAGCTTTATACAATTTATTTTATAACTTCTTCTCATATAGATTCTGGAAAACTAAAGACCTTTTTATTCCTGTTTTTATTTGACTTCCCTCTTTCTTAATCAACCTTGTCAGAGGTTTATTTTATTAATATTCTCAAAGAACCAGCCATAAAACATATCTAAAAATGTAAAGCACACTGTTAAACACTTCATGAGTCAAAGATGAAATCATGTTGGAAATTAGAAAATACCTGCAACTAAAAACAAAAATACAAACTTGTGGGATGCAGCTAAAGAAGTGATTAAAGGGATTATAGCTCAAAATTAATGTCATACATTTAACTCGGGAACTTAGAAAAAGAGCAAGTGAGTAAACCCAAAGAAAGTGGAAGGAAATGAAGAAAGAGAAATGAATGAAAGAAAAGAAAAAACAGAGACAAGCAGCCAAAAGTACCTAAAGTTGGTTCTCTCAAAGAATGAGGAAAATGGATAAGCCTTTGGTAAGACTGACGGGAGGAAAAAGGATATCAGGAATGACATAGAGAATCTGCCTACAGAGACAGAATTTTTATAATATCGTTAAGTGAATATTACGAACCTTGGACAAAATGGGCAGTTTCCAAAAATACTGTAACTTACTAAATCTGACTCAAGAGGAAACAGTAAAATGAAGAGGCCTGTAACTACTAGAGACATTGAAAGAACAGTTTAAAACACTATGCAACAGTTGGTGGCCCTCATAGTAGCCCAATCACGTCCCGTCTCTGGATGGGGAATGCCAGTGTCCTCTCACGCTTCAGAGGGGTTGGGAAAGTTCCAAATCTCCCCACCCTGGTGAGGAGGCTGAACTTCAGGGCCACAATTCAGGTGACTCAGAGAAGAGAAATTGCTCTGGGACGGGTCAACCCTTTAGATCAATTTATGTACCTAGGGCATTAACTTAAGAATGTCTTCAGCAATGGAATGTCACCATTCCTCCTCAACAGGAAGTTTGGGGAAGCAAACAATTGGTTTTCAAATAGTTTTGAAACATTAGACGACGCTGGCTGCTGTAACAAAGCAGCTTCGAAGAGGTACAAAGTGTGATCCTTGTGGGACCCACCGAAGCCTGAGAGCTAAAGAACGATTAAATGATTGCAAAGGTACAAAAAAAGGCAGAGGAAAAGAACGTGGGATGGATTCAGAACAAAAGCATGTGGGACAGAGTTAAAAAATTTTAACAGTGCCCGTGGGACAGCGTATTCACACCGCTAATTTTATCTGGAGAAATGCCGGTAGCCTTTCGGATCCCGATCCGCTTCCCTTAGGAAGTAACAGGCCGCGCGCCCCATTCCCGAGTTTCTGACCCCACCGCGGGCTGGAAGCCACAGCTCCGCCTTCTTCCTGGCAAAGCCTCGGGCCACCGCCCGCCTCGCCCTGGCAGCATCCTGCAGTGCCCGCAGCCCTCCCTGCGCGCAGGCGGCACCCCAGCAGCGACCCACCTCCTCGGCGTCCCGGCCCAGGGGGATGCCCAGGCTCCGGAGCCCCTCCTGCAGCTCGCCGATGTCCACCACGCCGTCCCCGTTGCGGTCCAGCGCCTGGAAGAGCGTCTCGTAGCGCGTCGGCGGTTCCGCGCTCTGGCAGGCCGCCGTGGGCAGCACGAAGCCCCGAAGCCAGCGCAGCATGGTCCCGGAGGCGCGGGGCCGCCCTGCCGAGGGAAGTCACGCAGGAGAGGGCTGCCGGGGCTCACCCAGGACCCGCGCGAGGCCTGGCTGGAGGAAGCCCGCGGCCGATCAGCTTTGGGGGCGTTGTCTGGGGCGAGGCTTTGGCGCGGCGGGCAGGACGCGAGAGCCCAGACGCCACCGGAGCCCCGCTCGGCGAGCAGGGAGTGGCCGCCGGGCTGCTGCTTGGGAGGAGCTCGCCGCGCGTCGGCCTCCGCGACAGGCGCCGAGGGACGGGCCAGGCCTGCCTCCGGCGGCAGGAAGTAAAAGGACTGCGGGGTGGGTCCCCGGAGCGGCTGTGTGCACCAGGAAAGCGAGCTCTGCTGGGTCCCGAGTCCAGCTGTCAGGGCTGCGGGTACGAGGAGGAAGCCCTCAGGTGGTCGTGGGGGCGGGGGGCGTTGAAGTGCAGCTTACTCAGCTTAAAGCCCCTGTGTGGCTTGGAGCCAGGGCCAGCTGCCCAGAAGTAGTTCTCTGTGCATGGAAACGGCCACTTTTTCTCGTACGGATCTCTAACTTTTTCGTGTGACTCCACAGACAGTACGCATCTTTGGGCCGGTTTTCCATCTACAAAAGTGAGGAAGTTGGTGGTGCACACCTGGAATGGGAATTCTGCTTTAGGAAATGGAGGAGTTAAATCGAAAAGCAGCTATTAGAGCAATTAAAAAAACGAAAAGGAGAAACCCAGGGGCCTTTTGCAGAACAGATCAACATAATCCAGTGTACAATGGTTTTTAAAAAAAAAAAAAAAAAAAAAAGGACTAATTTGGTAAGCAGCTTAGATAACGTGATCTGCCCTTAATAAAGCTTACGAGGAATCTGCTAGGAGCACTTATTAGAAAAACCTCAGGCTCCTCCCTCTCAAAATGGGTGCAGTTCCAAGGTTTGGGGTTTATTACCCAGGTCAGACAGAACTTCCTACTGCATAACATGGCATAAGGGAAGGAATACTGGACAGAAAAAATACCACGGCCCTAATCTTTCAGCTGTGTATACTTGAAGATGTGGCATAGCCTCTCTGAGTAGCCTCTCATCAAAAATGAGTATAAATAGCTGCCTCACAACAGCAAGGTTGTATATTGTATGTGAAAGGTCTCCATACTCTCAAGTGCCAATCAAATGAGATGTCCTTTATGGTACTAAGTTTGTTCATCCACAGCTACTTAATAGAAACTATCCTTGTATTCCTGTTGTCTGCAAAGGAGAAGACGCCTCTGTAAATTAGGCTCTTCTCACATCTTCTGAATTACTAAACAAAGACCAGTTGCTCCAACAAAAGCCAGGAACTCAAACACTGAATTTACGTCCCTTCATACCGTTTTAAATGTTTAAGACATATGAATCTGGAGTTTGTAAGGACTGCCTGTTTAGTAAAATCTTGAAACAGACTTATCTGCTTATATTACTCCCAATGTCCAGTCTTGTTAAGAATAATCCTCTTCCTTTGGAATGGCCTTCAAACTTCATCAAATTTTCTGTCCTTGAAAACCTCTTTTAACTCCTACTGAATACTGTTTGAAGAGAGGTTGCTTGAAATAGCCATCCCAGACTTCGGTGCTTTTATTTTCCCTTTCTTTCTTTTTCTTTTCTTTTTTTGGTAATAATTAGAAGAATTACCTGTCAACATTTTGACTGAGGAAACATCTTCACACAAAACTTCTATATGAGAGTTTGTAGCAGTTTTATTCATAACTGCCAAACCTGGAAACCATCAAAATGTTCTGTAATGGGGGCTGGCCCGGTGGCGCACTGGATAAGTGAGCCACTTGGGAAGCGTGGCGGCGCTCCCGCCCGAGGGTTGGGATCCCACATACAGACCAGTTCCCGCTCACTGGCTGAGCGAGGCGTGGGAGCAACACCGAGGGTTGCAATCCCGTTGCCGGTCCCCGGTCCAGTGCGGGGGCAACACTGAGGGTTGCGATCCGTTGCCGGACATGGAAAAAGACAAAAGACAAAAAAAAAAATGTTCTGTAATGGGAGGATTGGTAAAGAGCCTATTGTGTTCATAGAATGAAATACTATTCAGCAATAAAAAGGAATTAACTACTGATACATGCAATTACATGACATTCTGGAAAAGGCAAAACTATAGGGACAAAGACAGATCAGAAGTTTTCTAGAGGCTGGGAGTTGGGAGAGAGGGATTGACTACAAAACAGTATTATGGGAGCTCTTGGGGGTGAGGGAACTGTTCTATATTTTGATCATGGTGGTGATTACACAACTGTGGTTGTCAAAAACTTACAGAACTAGGGGCCGTCCCAGTGGCGCACTGCTACAGTGCGCCGCTTGGGAGCGCGGCGGCGCTCCCGCTGAGGGTTCGGATCCCACATACAGACCGGTTCCCGCTCACTGGCTGAGCGAGGTGCGGGCACGACACCAAGGGTTGCGATCCCATTGCTGGTCCCGGTCCGGTACGGGCGTGACACTGAGGGTTGCAATCCGTTGCCGGACACAAAAAAAAAAAAAAAAAGACAAAAAAAAAAAAACTTACAGAACTATACAGTAAAAAGGGTTAACTTTACTTTATGTAAAGTATCTCAGTAAGTCTGACTTTAAAATCTGATTCAAACATGAGTAAAATGGGATAAGAACTCTTAGCTCAGAAGATCACTGTGCAAATCAAATAAAATAGTTTATAAAATACTTAAACTGTAAGCCTTGTTATCAAAAGTGGGGACCACAGACCAACAGCATTGTGTCACGTGGGGTCTTGTCGGAAATACAAAATCTCAGGCCTGCCCCAGGCCTAGTAAATAAGAGCCCTGGATGATCATTTCACACATTAAAGTTTGAGAAGCACTGTTAGTGTAAAGCAATACAAGTCAAAGTGTGATTTGCACACTGTTCTAGTCTGCAACAAGGTAAGTCAGAGATTGAGAGGGAGGATTTAGAAACTTTATAGCAATTTGATGAAGTAATTTTGTTTGTTGAATCTAATGATAAAAACTCAGGGCTTGTCTTTTTTATTTCAATTTTCCAGTAATTCGTTTTTAGTGTATTTTACAAAAATATGTCTGCAATGGATTGAGAAAACCATACAAAGGTGTAATTAACACCAAAACTTCCTGCATAAGAGAAGAAAGCTTTATATAGATATTTGAACATCTGAAGTTGAAATGGCATCCCTACCCACTTCTATTGGTAATTCCTGAAGACCAGTGGTTCCTACAGAGGCCAGGAGTATAAACCGTGAGCTGACTCACATTTCCTAACCTATTTATTTCTGTGGTCAGAACAAAAGTCTAGGGTTCATCTCAATTCGGCTATTTCATTTTTCCCAACTTTTAGCCTTCTCATGTACTACCATTTTCCAATGGAAGAGCCTACAGACTTTATCAGTTTCACCAGTTTGGGTCCTTGAAGACCTCTTTCAACACCTACTTGTATCCCTCCCTCCCTCTCTCCCTCGTTCCCTTTTTTCTTTCCCTCTTTCCTTTCTTTCTCTCCCACCTTCCTTCCTCCATCCCTCCCTTTCTTCTCTCCCTTTCTTCCTTCCTTCCCACCTTCCAGTCTTCCTGAATCACCTGTTAAAAGCCATTAGGCAGGCTTTTGAGTGAAAAAAGCTGCCCAGCAGGAGTCAAAGCCAAGGAAGGATGGTGGCTGAGCAGGGCAGCAGCCTAATGGAGTTGGGAGATTTGTTAGGCACAAGGGCATTGAACAAATAAATATACTGAAGACAATGAAGAGCTAGGCTTCTTGCTGTCAGAGAAGTGAGTTACAAATACAGAAAGGGTTAAGCTAGAATGAACCTTGTAGTGTGGAATTGTAATTAGTGGTATTGGTGTGCGATCATGGTTTTAAATATTTTTAGTATAAAAATATAGTGGGTACTTCAAAAAGTTCATGGAAAAATAGAATTAAAAGATATTACAAATCTTTCCATGAACTTTTTGAAGTACCAGTGTGTATGTGCATGCGTGCATGCGTGCGTGTGTGTGTGTGTGCGTGTGTGTGTGTGTGTGTGTGTGTGTGTGGTGTATGTGTTTATACACACTTACATACATATATTTCCTAGCCCTGTCCACTGATAAGGCCTAGGAGCAGTAATATCCATAGCAATGAGCACAACCAGTACCCAGACTTTTCTTTGTAAATATCATTCTCCAAAAGGAACTAGAACACGTTGGAGAAATGGCAGATTCCAGGGCAGAGCAACAAAGGTACAAGATGAGCACAGAGTATCTTATTACCAGAAAGTAAGTGCACAAAGAATGGAGATGTGTCAAAAGGACACACAGTCAGCTTGAAGGGGTTTTCACTGGTCACATCTAGGACAATTTGAGCACCAGAATAAATGATATCCTGGGTTTTGTCACCAAAAACTAAAATAAAACAAAAATGGTGTTAGCAGATAATATCCCATTAAACAAAACAGGAGTCCATCAGTTCACACAAATGTACACACAAATGGGATGAGAAAATTCTTCTTTACAATAAAATGCTGACTAGTAAATGTTGGTGGAATGATGGAATTAGGATGTCACCATTGGTTATCATAATAGTAACAATAATTAATTCAGGCAAGAAATATCAATAGATGCGAACACCAGTGGGTGAAAGTTGGATAAGAAATGTGACATTTACCTTGTTTCAAACTATCTTCCCACAAAATATTATACATTACAAATATTATACCCATATAAAAGAATAGTTTTACAGGCAGAAACCTAGCAAACTATAAAAATTGCTCCCCTAAAATTCATTTTAACAGTTACAATGTGCAGAGAAAAATTTCTAGTGCACATTTCTTATTTTAAAGTATTTGTCACTCATTTTTAAGATAGGGCTTTTTGCTCTTTTATTTCGTGCCTTTTTGTTACATATACTCAAAAACTGAATGTCCTTTACATAAAAGTTTGTTTGCTTGTATCTTTGTAGTATCTTCAAACTCATGACCACTTAAATCTTTGTAGTAATGTGGCTATACTTGCATATTTGTAATAAGTTTCCAATAGTTTAAGAGCAGTTTGATTTGCAGGGGTCCATCTCTTTAGTACATTTTCCAAAGTGTTATTTTACTTCTGAAGGAAAGGCAGCTACTCATAGAAAAATGGCCACAATGTAATGTTGCTAACACCTCAGTAGAGGGTACTGTAACTTAAAAATGAAGAATGGCTTCGGGATAAATTGTAAAACCTGACAGGGAGTGCTGGCAGGAGATGACGGGAAAGAAG